CCGCCCCTCGCCGCGCGCCGGCTGCGGCAGCCTCAGTCGGTCTGCAGCCGCACGGCCACCGCGAGCCAGCCGCCGCAGCCTGCGTGCAAGCTCAGCGCCCCCGGGAGAGCAACGCGAGCCCCCAGAGCCCGCACCATGCAGGCCACTGCCGATTCCACCAAGATGGACTGTGTGTGGAGCAACTGGAGAAGTCAGGGTATTCTCTTTATTTCAGTAGTGCATGCCTGCGGCGCACGGGAAACCCGGGATCCGGACTCGTCCATTGTGCATCGTTTCACCTGTGGGACCTATGCATGCTTTATGCCCAAAAGCTTTCTGTTGGGGGGAGTAAACCTGTTATTTCAAAAATCATAATGGATGGTGTTTGAATTTTTTTCCTTTTTTTTTTTTTTTTGGTTTACACCCCCTCCCTTCCACCCCTTTGTTTTCTTGTAATGCTGGTACAGTATTTTAAATAATGCATCACTTGCCTCCTCTGGGATCTTTTTAAGGATCCGTTGATCAATATTTGTTTAATCTTTTCTCATCCCTGGAGTTAAGGTGCTTCCTTATTGTTCCGTGCATCCCAGTGCATTTATTTCTGCCGAAAGGTTGAAATCTCCTGGCAGAACCATTAACTCAAAGGGCTCTAGAACATCTTTTAAGAAGATTGTTTAATCTTTTCTCATCCCTGGAGTTAAGGTGCTTCCTTATTGTTCCGTGCATCCCAGTACATTTATTTCTGCCGAAAGGTTGAAATCTCCTGGCAGAACCATTAACTCAAAGGGCTCTAGAACATCTTTTAAGAAGAACACACCCTTTTCAGGGCTGTTATTTGTGGTCACACAAAGGAGACTGAAAATGCAGACTGGCTCTCAAAATTCTGAAAATATGATGGCGTAGCCACATATTAGGATGGTTTACTTTGAATGTTCCAGTGTTTCTGTCTGTCATCGAAGTAACCTGTAACTATTACTTATTAAGGATGTGTATCTGTGGAATAGATGGAGGGAAATAAGAAAACAGTGCCGGTTGCCTGCTGGTACAACAGATTTATTTTGAAACAGTCCATAGCAGCACTGGGTGTGGCCACCCTCCAGCCTCGCTCGGGTTGCTTTTCAGCCATTTTTATTCAGCCTCATACTTCACACATCCATCTCTCCTTTGTTACTGAAACATTCTCTCCTTCACCTTGCTCAGCTAGAGATGGCGAGGAGAGGGAGTTAATTGGCAAGAATGAATTACGGGTAGTAAACTTAGGTGTTTGTAAGATAAAGCGTTTTTTCATATTTAACAAATATGGTTCTGAAGAAGGAACGTTTGGTTTAACCTGCAGCGTTTTGCAGCATCCCTCAGGGGACCAAGAATACTCTGGAGCAGCAGCTGATTTTTTAAAAACCTGGCATTTTCTCCTTGTAATTTTATATCACAAAGAATAGAAAGCCTTTTCATCTTTCATTCCTCTCTGGGGTTTTTCTTTGGTATATTGCTTAAGAAAAAGTAAACAAATCTCAGATTTAAAAGCACACATACTTTGCCTGTTGTGTGTTGGATGGGGTGGCAATCACATAAAATACAATAATTTACTTAAAATTATGTGGGTCTGTTGGAAATACAGTTGTCAAAAGTAAATAGATGGACCTGATAAATTTAAAAGCCAGTAAATAATAAATGTGTGGCAACTGAGAGGCATGATTGTAGAGAATGGTGACAACTACATAGAATGGCATAGGTTTAATGTAGACGGCAGTTGTGAAAATTCTTTGTAACATTCATTTTTGTTGTGTTTAGATCCATCCAGTTTATTTGATATACACACTCAACAACCAACTATGGCTTGATATAATATCAAGTTTAGTTGGACATAAAGATTGGTTTTTAGACCATGATGATGGGTTTCTTCTTAACAAAAGTAGTTACCAGGGATGGCAGGTTTTCTTTTTTATTTGTATGTGCTTAAGATATTGGACACTATTTCATTACAGTCCTGTGTATTTTACCTCAGTGGCTTCAGTTGACCTCTATGGGGTTTTAAAAATGCACGGACATTTATGATCAGAAATTAACACAAAATGCTGTAATTTGTCCACTGAAGACAATCATTTTAATTTCCAATGTATAGCTACTTGTAGAGATTAATAGAAGATAGCTGAGGATCTTTTACACCCGGTGACCTTTGGTAGTCTTCCCCACCATTGATTTCCTTTTGTCAGATAGAACAAAGCCATTATCTTGAAAATTGACTAATAACTAACTGGGTGGGTGGGTTTATAGGCACAAAAGAGAAATGGTAAGGAGTGAATTATTCCTTCGGTTTCTCCCCACTATGAGAACTTTTCATCTCTAAATTAAATCTACAATAAGATTTTTTGTTGTTGTTTAGCATTTTCATTGTATCTTCTTCACTTTAGTTCCTATATTATCAATAACAGTTGTTCTTCACCTTGGCCGCACATTAGAATCACCTGGGAAGCTTTAACAAACACAAAGGATGCCTGGGCCCCACCCCTAGAGATTTTGATTGAATTAAGCCAAGCATCAGTAGTTTTAAAAATCTCCTTAGGTGAGTTTAATTTGTAAGTCGGGTTGAAGCCACTGCTGTGGAGTAATTGTTAGTAAGCCCAATCCATGGGACAGCAGAGGTCCAGTATACAAATGATGAAATGGGTGTGACTGAGGAGCAGCTGTGAATGCAGTTAGGAAGAACATTGTTGATAATGTCCTCTGGAGGTATTAAAAGGTGAAAGTTTTGCTTAGAAAGGAAGTAGATAATGTGTTTCAAGTTTCCTCCGTGTTATTAAATATTCCTTGGAGAAATTGCAGCAGATTGACTATTTTGTGAAGACTCCACTGAAATTAATTAAAACTGTAGAGCACATGCAAAAGGAAACTTACATGTATCTTATTACCATATATGATTTTAGCAATAGACAAGAACGTTTAAAGAAAAAGAGGCTAAGATCCACATTACACTATATTGCACAAATTCTGCTTCCAGTTAAAAAAAATTATGTGAACCAAAGGACAGTTTACTCAGTGAAAATGAAATGAGAATGAGATAGGTTACAGGTTACTACCTAGTAAAACACCTATATAGATGATAATCTTACAGGTCAGTGCAATACTGCTGTTTACGGGGCACTTTTACTGAGCACTTCACTTGCGTTACTACATTTCACCCTCACAGATCCTGTGCAAGTAAGTTTTATTACTATCCCTATTTTGCAGGTGATAAACTGAAGCTTCTGTCAGGGCACACAGCTAGTCATACCAGAGGCCGGATGTAGCCTGGGCTGACTCCAGAGGCCCTCACTTCTTACCACTCCACTATCTGCCTCAGAGTGATGGCTTTTTCCTCAATGACTTTTCTAAAGATATGAATTATCTATATATAATGGTAATTGTATGGGATTGATAACCTCCCACATTTGCAACTTTTCATTTTGCAAAACGTCTTCTCATTTGAGCTTTTCAATTTAATCTTAAGAGTAAATAATGAGCCTCGAAGAAGTTAAGTGGCATGCCCATGGTCTTGTGGTAAGTGGTGAACTGGGCAGTAGAAATGACTCTCCTGGCTTCACATCCAGGACTCTTCCCAGCTCAGTGTTCACTGCCTCTCTTACCAATGCTAAGTTATACAAGGCGAATGCTCACTTACCTCTTCTGAGATATTTTCACATAGCTCCTCTCTTTACAGACAAAGCAAAATTTAGCAGCAAGGCAGTGATCTTGCCCAGTTTATGCCATTTCTGTCATCAACACCATCATCATCAATTCGTCATCCTAAATTCTCCGTAAATATCAGCTCTGTGCCAGTTGCTGCCTTAAGCTTTTGTTACATACCTTGTCTTAATTATGTCTCCATGAGATTATTGTGTTACTCTCATTTTATAGAGGAGGAAACTGAGTGTTTTAAATAATTGTCAGTAACTGGGTCCTGACCACAGGGTGTTTTGATCATGAAGCCTATACTTTTAACTATTCTACCATACAACCCAAATCCAGATGGTATTGTGCCAGGGGAACAAAATGTGATCAGAACCATCCATCTACATGAATCTGTTTGTAGATCATTTTTTTCCAGGTTTTACTGTACTCAACAAATTCACCTGGCAGGACGCTTGGTAATATGTTGGATTGATTCATGTCGTGTGCTTGGGGATAAGGGTCAGCTCCCTCTTTACTCTGCGTGGCAGCATTCTGTAGTTACATCTTCCTCAGTATGTAAGTTGTTGATGGAGGACTAACCACTTTCCAGACAGCATAACCTAAAGGCATTTGTTTTTTTACGAAATGAAATATTTTGAAAATCCTATGCTGACCTACAGCACTCTGTGGAAACACATCGAGGTAGTCTGTTATGAAAGATGCTAGTTCAAAACATGTATTAAAGAGCCAAGCATCCCAGAACACACAGAGGAAATATCTGTTTTAGCCACAGTAATTGGAACAAATGCTTGTCTTTTGAAAATGGCATTTGATAAAGACAATTTTACACATATACATAAAGGAAGATCTTTTATCAAAATCAGCATTTTATTTAGATTTATTATTATTAGAATATTGTACAAATATTACAACATAAACATTACATGTGCAAACTCCCTCTGGGTGGATTTTAATGAGGTTCAATGGGCTTAGCTGGAGAGCTAGGGATATTTTTTTATTAGTGAAAGAAAACTCTCATCATGTGCATAATATACCAAACGTAGGTAGTCAGTTACTCCATTGAAAAATAAAGGTCTCTGCCCCATAAATATGTACATAATATGTATTATTATGTGTCAATTAAAATAATAATAATAAAGAAGAAAGATAAATGCAAAAAAAAAAGAAAGAAAAAGAGGACGGTCTCCCATAAATATGTGCAATTATTGTGTCGATTAAAAATAATAATAAAGAAAAAGAAAGGTCTTCTTTTTCACGATGTCTTATCATTTTCAAGAGAATCTTTATAAGAGAGTATTTCAAAATTTTGGGAGAGAATAATGGCTGTATCATTTTTCTAAAAATGATACATGTACATTATGATAATTTTCATTTGTACAAAGAGAAGTTCAAATGCCACAAATCATCCAAAATCCTCTTACCCAGAGCTAATCACAAAATTTTGGGAGAGAATAATGGCTGTATCATTTTTCTAAAAATGATACATGTACATTATGGTAATTTTCATTTGTACAAAGAGAAGTTCAAATGCCACAAATCATCCAAAAT